AAGGAGAAGGAGAAGAAGGAGAAGGAGAAGGAGGAGGAGAAGAGGAGGAGGAGGAGGAGGAAAAGAAGGAGAAGGAGGAGAAGAAGGAGGAGGAGGAGGAGGAGGAGAAGGAGAAGGAGAAGAAGAAGAAGAAAGAAAGAAAGAAAGAAAGAAAGAAAGAAAGAAAGAAAGAAAGAAAGAAAGAAAGAAGAAAAGTACAGAGAAAAGAAAGGGAGAGCAAGATGTAATAAGATACACACAAAAATACGCATATACACCTACCCACACATACATGTCTATATATCTGTGTATCTAAATAGGTAAGTTTAACATAGAAGTTATGAATATAGAGCCTATAAAACCTATAAGGTTAATCTAAATATCTAAACCTATAAAATCTGTTGCCTATGAAACCTGTCCACTGTATTTACTGCCTTACAGCCCTTGATTAACTGTACTTCAAAAGTAAATAAGAAGATCAAGGAAGGAACATCGTTTTATGGCATACAGTATTAAAAATAAGAGAAAGTGTAAACATTGTCTAAGCCTGCTGGTGTGAAATTACGCATTCAAGAATGGAAAATGTGGTGATAATGTAAGGACTGTGGCCACAAAAGTGGTCACTGCACTTTTGAGGAAGAACGGGTGCAGAAAGTTCGCAGAAGCATTCTCTGAGGAACCGTAGAAGGAAGTGAAAGTGTCTCAAAATCTAATGGTTTGAAGACAGAAGAGGCTAGATTTTGATGGCGTGCATGGAGAGGAACCTCTTCAGAGTGAGAGCTGCTTGATCCCATTGCTGTCTGGAGGTCTTGAAGCAAAACTGGACAACAACAAATCTGGGGAGAACGTGGTTCTAGATTTGCTGCCTCACATAGGACGCTGGGTGTATTTTCATCTGCTCTGTAACCATTGACTCAGGGAACCCTGGACTTCTTCGCGGATTTGCACCAAGTGAGTAGCAAACAGTGATTCTCACTTGCATTGTTCTAAAGAAGTTTGGGGGTGGTAAGGAGGCCACCCCATCAACAGTTTTGAAAGTGGAACAGGAATAAAAGAATAAGTTTCATGAATAATTGCATTTCCTTTTGCTGTTTTTTTTGTCCTGGTCTTCATGAAAGCAGAACTTCCTCTTTATCTTCCTTTACTCAAGTAGCATTTAAGAATCGGACGACAACCCAGAAACGAAGGAAAGAGACTTTTGCTTAGAGGTGAGGATCATGATCTCCCTCCTGATTCTCCTGTTCCTAAGAGAAGTTACAGGTAGGTGTCTAATCAGGCCTCTTGATTTGGTTCTTGGGGCAGTGACTCTTTTCTTCCTGGGAATTTCTCATGGGGTGGAGGTCAGGATGTGGTATCTACAAGAAACCACTGGAGCCAAGTCAAAGAGGAAACTGTGTGTGTCCCAACCTCCCCATGTGCACCTCGCTTGCGTTTTATCTGGAGTTTAATCTTCGTTTTATTTTTGTTTTTGGTCTTGGTTTGGATTTAGTTATTCGTTGTGTTTACTCCTAAACGGGGTAGCACTTCCTTATCAAAGGTTTGGGGGACAACTTGGGAGTTTTCCCGGACTCACAGCTGAAGGACTTTGCACAGATTCATCTTGTGCACCAGTTGTGGCTATTTCTGCATTGGGAGGCCCTCTGGACAGTAACTCATCCTTGAGTCACCTTGCAGGTAGAATATGGCTGTATGCTGTACATAGGCTACCCTTGAAGACCTCTTGGAAGCTGTACCTGGTCCAGAATGTGGTGGCAGAAACAGTGATTGGCATGCCAAAGTATGTCCATGCAATGCCTCTCTTATGGGAAGAAGGAATAACTTTGAGGAACAAGGGGAAGAGGCACAACCAAGACAATGATCAGATAAAAGGAATTTGAGTCTGAGGCAGAAATGTGTAATTTGAGGAAGTGTCTCAGACATGATGGAGGAATGATATTCCCACAGTGGAGGAATGGATTGTGAAAATGTAGAATTTGCAGAAATGGTGAAACTGACTTGTTGGGTCAAGGAACACAATTTTGAAAGACTGGAAACCTGATATGGACTTTTTACTGAAACAGGGGGAAAAAAATGAATTGATGATTTATGGATTTGAAGATTAAGAAAGATGCAGATGAAAGGAGGGGGTGAGGAGATTTGCAAAATATTTAAGGGGGGGAGGGACAATAAAGTTGCAATTCTCCGTTGAAAAGAAGGTCAGAAGCCATTTATATATTTGTTTTTTCTTTTCTTGCTCCTTCCTTCCTTCCTTCCTTCCTTCCTTCCTTCCTTCCTTCCTTCCTTCCTCTTTTATTATATGAACCTTCTTAATACATACAAATAAATAATAATTTAAACAAGTATCTCAGACAAGACCCTCTCTACTTCTCACGAAGACAAAGGGAGACAGTGGGGAGGTGCATTCGCACTTGCAAGATTCTATTACTTTAACTTTGGGATAAAAGTAATATGAGCTTGTGTGTCTTTGGTTTCCAAGTTTGATCTGCCTGGCAGGGCGGACAACCTCTGCCCCATGAACTGCACTGGTTACTAGTGGGCTTCCAGGTACAATTCAAGATGCTGGTTGCCATTAATAAAGCTGGGCCTCCTATTCTGTCTGCCTGTCTTGTTCAAGGTGACACAACTGCTGTGCTTCAGGTCCCATCCATTAAACAGTGTCGTCGGATGGAACCCAAACTGTCTTCTCTGTTGCAGCATAGCCCATAAAGCCCTCAAGATGTGCCTGTGGGATGTGCCAAGGGGAGGAGGTATTCGCTGGACGCTGGCAGGAGTTCAGGGTTAGACTATCTACCCACCACTGTTTCTCTCCCTCAGGTGCCACTTTCTTCCACCAGTATGAAAGTGAACATCAGATTCAGATCTTCAATGAATCCGCTGGGGAAAGCAACACTGCCTGGTGGTTTGGACAGGACAATTCCCTGCAAAGATTTGAACAGAGCTGCTGCAGTAAAGATGGGGATCTCCATGATGACTTTGGCTGTGAAGAATGCCACAACAAATTCCACCTTGACAATTTCCAGAATGGTGGAATGTTTGCGTGCAAAACCCTGACGGGGCTCTCGACACCGAAAAAGGAAACCCCAGTATTTACTTCGGAAGAGGACTGCGAGGAATTCAATTTCTTTATTGTAGCAATAATAAACAGCACAGCAGGTGAGAGGATTTTGTGTTTTATTGGGCAGGAATCAGGTCAAATTCATTCTGACATTAGTTTAGATCAACGCCGCTCAAACGTTTTGGTCTCGGGACCCCTTGACGTTCTTGAAAATGACCGAGGACCCCAAAGAGCCTTGGTTGATGTGGGTTATATTAATCCATATGTACTGTAGTAGAAATGAAAACTGAGAAATTAAAAAAAAAATTATTTATTTGACTTCGCAGACCCCCTGAAAGGGTCTCGTTCAGATATTCAGATTTGGTTGGATGTGTTTTGTGAACCAGCTAGAGAGTTTACTGGTGGTGCTGTGAAAAAGTTCAAGTTAAATCAGACCTGAACACAGTGGCCATCCCTAAAGGAAGAATGATGTCCTGTACGACTTGGCACCCCACAAATCTGCAGAAGAGCAATGAGATCAACTCCCTCTTTCAAAAAACGGGACACTGGGATTGAAGGACCCAGGTCCAAACTATGGGGTACTGAGTTTCTGTAAGATGCAAAGCATAGCAGCAGTAACAGAAATGTTGTTGGTGTTTAATGAATAACCTGATAAAGATATGCCTCTACTCTTAGCCCTTTCTTCCATTTTGCACTGCAGAGCAGAGTTCTAAAAATACGGGTGTGCAATCGGAGGAGAAAGTGTCCAATGAGGAAAAAGAAAATTTTAATCTTTCCTGTAAATTTGAACTGGGAGCAAAAACTTCAGAGTTTGTTGTATATTGGTTTAAGGAAACAGAACCAACCACCTGCCTCTTTTCGGTTACCAACGAAGGCCAGCACAGCTTGGACAACTTCGACAATGATATCAACTGCTGTATTGATCCTGCATTCAAAGAAAGACGAATCAACTTCTCCACAACTTTAGATTCAGAACATCGACACCAGAGTCACACGGTTACCATCACCCACAGCACCGCGTCTGACAGTGGAATCTACTTCTGTGTGGTGGCCGCTTATAATAAAAAATACAGGTGGACGATTGAAAGCAGAATATCTGTGACCATCAGGCAATGTAAGTTTCAAATGTGATGATCATTAAAATGCGTTCATGCATTCTGATTAAGATACCCTCCCATGTTTTACAGTGAAAATAGAGTGATCTTGTTGATTGTATATACCAGTGTTTCTCAACCTTGGCAACTTTAAGATGAGTGGATGTTGCCTCCCATGCTGGCTGGGGAATTCTGGGAGTTGAAGTCCACTCATCTTAAAGTTGCCAAGTTGAGAAACACTCCTTGTTCTGAGATTTTTCTGCCAGTACATTAACAATCCACCATTAACTCAGAATCTCAAAGACATCTTGCCAGGATCTGATAAATAAGCCAAAAGGGAGGTTAGGGTGCTATGAGAACACCTAAAAAAGGGGTTAAAAGGTGATTAAATTTAGGCAGAAATAAACTCAGTCATGCCCAAGGTCAAATTAACTCCACTTGGTGTTATGGGAACATCCAGCAAATTCACTCATTTTGCCTAACAAGTCCTCCAAGAAAAAGAGCTGGAGAGAAAGAAGGGCTGAAAAAACAAGGCTCTCTATTACACAACTCACTGCCAAGGCAGTAACCAAGCCACACCCAGTGGAAAATGGGCTGGTGATGTCATGAGGCCAAGAGAGAAAATAGAACATTTCAAACTTTCTCTAACAAGGAGCAGATGGGTGTTTCAGTGCCCAGTTTATCTGGGAAAGGCAGCTAGCCCATCCCTTTCCCATTCTTGGAAAAAGTAGTTCAAACAACTCTCAGAGCCCCACCCCTAGGATGAATTCACTTATAACTGCAGGATGGGAGGAGGAGTTTTGCTTTTTCTATTTTCCAGATTCTTTCTCCTAATCTCTTATTTCTCGAGATTTCAGCTTGATTAACGAAACTCCATGTGAATCTTGCATTCCTGGCCTTCTTCTACCGTCAGGGGGTTGACATTAATCCTGGAAACAGAATAAGTGAATCTCCTAATCCTATTTATGAGTGACTGCATTGAAGCAGGAGTTGTTTGAACCTCTGTTTCCAGAATGCAGAACTGAAGGGCTCACTTCTTTGCTCAGATAAGCCAGATATCGAAACACCTACCTGCTCTTCATTGGTCATGTTTTGAAAATATTCCGTTTTCTTTCTTAACCAGTGAGTTTCTTATGCTCTGGGGTACCTCCACAAAGCTATTTTGCACCGTTCCTGGACTAGAGCTGGAGTCATGTCCTGTGCCATCACCTATTTTTAAGCATCCAAGCAAATTAAGTTCTGATTCAGTTTGGGGCAAAAGTAAAGGAGTGTGAACTCTGTTTTGCAGCAGAAACCCTGAAGCTTGGGGAAGGGGTGGTTTGTTTTGAGAAAAACTCTTGTCCGATTTCTAGCTCTACCCTTCCCAGTAAAGATTACGGTCCCCTGGTTCCCTTCTCAGTTGGTCATCTGGAAGGAGCAGCCTTTGGACTTGCGAAGGGCTGGTGGAGGATGTTGGTGGTGAAGAGAATTGCCAGGCATTTTAAATACAATACTGAAATTCTGGGAACTGAAATATCAGCTTTCACACAGAGGCACACACACTCATTTGTACCAGCATAAATAGTTGCTCACACAAAAGATAAATTGAATTAGAATGTACCTTCTCCCTATCTTGGAATGAAAATAAAGCCAAGGAAAAGATAAGGTCCGAAAGAAAAGCAATTAAAAGAACAAGCCAGCCGACAAAGCCATGTTTTGTTTCCACTTTGTTTCAGCAGTTTCCAATTTGGTATTTTGCAGAGAAGTGAACAAAGAGAGAAAGAGGCCCCCAAGTGGTCATTGATCTCTGAGCAAAAAGAGAGTTCATTTGAGCTTGATTGACTTTCAATCCAATTTAGATCAAATTAATTAATATGCTTATTCCATGGAAGTTTAATAATTCTCCCCTTCTGCTGCTTGTAGGGGCTGGTGGTGGAATTTTTGAAATTCCATTTGAAATTCACACACAAACCCCACGCTTGGCCAATTAGAAGATGAATATGGGCCTTTTGAGGTCCAAGTCCACCTTTGGTGTCCACCATCACCAACGTAAAGAGGTGTCAGCAATTTGAGATGGTGCTTCCTAAAACATGCCCTGGAGTGATCATTTTCCCTCTCTGACTGGTATGATAGGGTTTCTTCCTTTCTCTCTCTTTTTTTTAAGCATCACCACTAAGCTCAAAAATCAAGCTGAAGATTTCCCTAGCAGTGACAGCAGCCATGTGTTTGGTTGTTGGGATAATATTGTTCCTGTGCTGGAAGAAAAATGCAAAAGGTAATGAAGAATGATCTGGCCAGCCTGGTATCAAAGAAAACTCTGCAGTTTGCGGGAAAAAAAGCATTTGAAATATAAGAACTTCACTATATATTTTTCATGTTGTTCCAGGAAAGCCATTGGAATGTCAGCAAAGGTATGGCTTATCATACAATTTATAGACATTGTATTTTTTTCCCCCTCTTCACTGAAATAATTGTAAAATAATCTCTTTTATTTAGGGACCAGACTACAGTTGCTCCAGAAGATTGTAAGTCTAATCCTGTTTGCATCAAATTTGATTTTAAATGGTGGCTTTTATAATGGAGATAGGAAACCACGTATCCCAAATATTGGGGATATAAATGCCGAAATATTTCCCAGGCCCATTTAATGGATATAATCAGCCCTGAGCTCAAGCCATACCTGTAAAACATATTTGTCTTTTTACAATACATTGAAGCATCAGTGAATACAACAGGTAAAGCCGTCGAAAGTTTTCTCTTAATAAATTTAAAATAAATCTTAGCCTGTTGGGCACGTTCACTTGCTAAGTCTTCCATTTAATCAAGCAGACTGTAGCCTCAAATCCGCTTTAAAAATAAAAATGAAAAATATTTGCTCTTCTGTTTCTGGCTTCTTTCCAGGCTCTCCATATGCTGTTTCCAGCCACAAAGACCTGGATGGAAGCATAACCGTGTATTCGCTAGCCACAAGTCCTGGAGAAGCACCATTTGCAGCATGTTCCTTACCAGAAGGTAGCCCATCTCCTGGTGTGCGGCACGGGGATGACGTGCAAGCACTTTATGCTAGAGTTTTGAAGGACTAAACCCATCCCCACTTGGCCTCCGATGGGGATGCCCCACACAGGAAAGCTGAAAGATCTGACTTTGCCCACTGAAACTTCCCTTTACTGAGTAGGAGAAAAGGACAATTCTCCAAAACTGCAGCTGAAGGCAAGGAGACTTCTTTGCAGGACTGCAGATCCTAGGCAAAGGCAGGTGGAGATGGAGACAGAGGGCTGGAGCCAGGAGGCCTTTGAATTCATGGGTTCCTGGCCATCTGGCCATCTCTTTTCTTGCCACTTCTGCTTCCCTGTGAGCTCTTTCGTTTTATTTTTCATCTGTAAGTTTTGCACCTGTTCCATTGCAAAAAATCACACCTGCTGCTTGGAACATTGGCCGCCAGCTGTCCTTGAGCACGTCCTAAACCTCTTAAAGGAATAGTTGCCTGATTGGAAACCCTTGATGGTCTTTTTGCTGAAAATGGATAAAAAGGAACGGATGATTTCAGGACCGATTGATTAAAAAGGTTTGATTATGGGAAGAAGGGAGCCAAGATATGTCATCTGGGAAGGTGGACATGGTGATGATCGTGTCTGTAATGGCTGCAAAGGAGATCAGAAGTCGCTTCTTTTGATATCTTTTCTTTCCTTTTTCTTTGTCTTCTGGTGTCCTTCACTTTTTCTTTTATTCTTTCATATCTTTTTCTTTTTTCTATTTTTCTGTTTAAGCTTCTGTAGTTTTTTAAATCATGTGTAAAATTCTTTCATATATATATATATATATATATATATATATATATATGGAATAGTTGCATGGGAAAAAAATGATATCTTTAACGAAGCTTCCCAAGAATGTGGTGTTTTATGGTAAAGGGTGTTGCAATGCCCTGCAGAGATAACACAAGTCTCTTAGGATCCTCAAGCCCATTTTTTGAAGCAGTCCGACAAGGCGTGTGTAGCACCTGTTTAAAACTTCACTTGCAGGCTGGTTGGGTTTTTTCATTTCTGGTCCATTAGATGGCAGCCTTGTCTCTTACGATGGAAATCTTCTTTGACAAGAAGGCGCAGACACCTGAAATTACTACAGTTGGTCAGTCGGCATCTGCAGGACCTATGGTGGAGTCAGTTCTCAGAGTGTAAATGCTGGGCAGGTGAGAAGTTGTAACAAGCCAGAGGAAGACAGCTTTTTCCACCCTGTTTCCAAGACTTGACACTCTTAAATAAGAAGGAACAGGAGACTTGATTGCACATGCCGAGTCCATCTTTTGCATGGCGAGAAAGACATATTGTGCTTGTCAAGAGTGTTGCTTGGGGTCACGTACAACTCTGGAGCCCATGGATGAGTCTCAATGTCCCATGCATATGATTAGGATTTTATTGGCTAAACATCGGAAGACCATGTGCCCCAACTCCATGCTTTCCTCTTACAGCCTCTAAGACATGATCCTCACTCTTACACATGTATATTTTGTGGTTGCTTCTCTATGTTAATCCCACCAATGTCGGAAGGGCCCCATAGCCCACTTCCCATCACTCCAGGATCTGCAATTTTCTCGTCTGAAAGATGGGATTTAGGTTGGTTGCCTGCTGAAGTTTGAATGCTAAGCGACATAATCCAGGTCACTGCTATTTAAGGATGTGTTCAGTTCTTCCAGGGGAATTACAAGGAAAAGGTGAGAAGTGGAGAAGCTGGGTGTTCCCAAAGTCTAGGGGGTGATTCAACCATGTGATCCAAGCCCTGCCCTTTTGGTGCACCCCATGCAAAAAGGGGTGGGTTTTGATCACACAGTTGTGGCTGCCATCTTGACTTTTTGACTCCAACCCCCCCCCCCCCCCCCCCCATGGATACCTCTATGGGGAAGAGGTTTACAAGGAAAAATATGAACAGGGGAAGGGAATGCACTGAGGAAGATATTGCAAACATGGGAAGGAAGGGGTGGGGTGCTGTTGGCAGGACTTCCCTGTGCCCTCTTCTCTGCAAAACACGCTCTTCCTAATCTGGCAGCAAAGCCATCCAGCTGCCATTCCCTTAAAATAAACTGGAAAGTACTTAATGCGATCGCAGTCCCCCTGTTTTCTGTCCTATCAAACCTGACAATTTCATGGCCACCCTTGGAAATTGGAAGACACGCCAGATGTGCCCTTAACAGCTCAACTCTGCCTCCTGAGGTTGAGGAGGAAAAGGCTTAAAAAAACACCAGCCCACCCAGCCGAGCCATGGGAGGAGGCTAAAAAACCCCCAAACCTTTGAATTGCCCTTGCTTCAAGCAAAAGAGCTGTTAAGTTGCGTGGTCTTTCGGTGTCTAGATCATCTCAATGCTTTCCCTTCCATAAGACTGCAAAGAATTTCTTTGGGGAGGGGGAGAGAAGAGACGGTTTAGGCAAATCTGCTTCTCAGCCATTCGGCTCAGCAGCTATCAGGTAAAATCAGCTGTTTCAGAGCAATCCCTATTTCCAATGATTAGAAACAAAGTGCATTTCTCCCGCTTACATTGCAGGCCCTTTGAGCAATCCTCTGTAGCCGATTATACTTCACCATTAGAACTGTTAGCGCGGCTGACTTGTTCTGTCCACTTGAATTATGCAAATTCCAAACACCGGAGGTAAGTTGAAGGCGCCAGAAGATTCACTAGGAGGAGTAGCTTTTATTACCTAAATCCATTGATGGGAATCCCTAAGAAAGGGGAGAACGTGAGTTTTAAGAAGGCGGCTTGCTCCCTTCAGTGGATTTTTGTGTATCGGCAAAGAGACGTGGACTGCACATGCAGACACGGACACCCTCCTTTGGACCCACAAAACTCTGGCTTAAGATCCGAGAAACAGGATAGCGTTTTGCGCATTTCAACAGCCAGGCCAAAAGAAAGCCCCACACTGAGTCACCATTTCTCTCTCGATTTCCTAAAAGTGTTCTTCCCCTGCAAGAGAGAGAGAGAGAGAGAGAGATTTTGTTTTTTAACTTCATTTTTCAGGGTGCATCAGAATTTCTCTAGAGGTTCTTTAGGTGTGATTTTGAGTGTTGTTACTAAAAGATGGTAGCACTGGATTTTGGGGGGCTGGGATGGTTCTTGTTGGATGATTTGATTTTCGTTTCTTCTTTCTCTCTCCCTCTGCTGCTGCCCTCATTTTCCGACTGGAAGAAGACCCCTTGGGGGAATTTTCTTGCCATAATCCCCTTTAATTCCTAAGAGTTAGGATTAGAATTGGAGTGGGGAGAAGAAAGGGATATTGACTGTTGGGGAGCTGGCTGTTTTCATCTTACACTTTGTGTTCCTGAACAAATTGTTGCACCTGTAAATTTAAGGTTAGGTGCTTGGTATGCAACAGAATCTAGATTCAATCCAGAACAGGCCTAACTCAGCGGCTGGCCCCAATTTAAATCCTACTTCAGGGTAGCCACTCGGTACATCTGACAAAGGGAACTACAGCTCACGAAATTTCTGCCGTTGAATAAACTTGGTTAGTGAGAAAGGCTGCTACCAGATTTCTTTGGGGAAACCTAGGCAGTCCAAGTAGGCAATATAAGATTAGGTGGATTACTAGATCAATGGAACTGGATATCATTCTGTGCATTTAGTAACAAAGCTGCTGAGTGTCTGCAGCCAATTTGCTGGAATTGATTTCAGAGGTATGCATCATAATTTCTCAGAAGTCAGGAGGACTCTTCTTCTGATCCTCTTCTGGCCTTTCCTGAGATTCTCAATAATAAGCTGCCTGTGGTTCATTGTGTGTGACTCCCAACTAAAGGTTGAGTTCAAATAATGTGCTGAACCTCATCCTTGAACCAACCCCCTTTTCCGGTATGCACAGGGCATGGGAGCATCCCCACCATCGCCCACTGCTAGGTCTTTATCTGAGTTCATTAAGCACGTTACGTGGCAAATTGCAAGTGGGCTTCGCCAACCATCTCTATGAAAACAGGAGCAACCCCCCAAAACTCTCTCCTTTGCAAAATTTAGACAACAACTGATCGATGCGCAAAAATGTATCATTTTAATATTTAGACCAACAGGCAAACTCTCTTGTACAACCCTTCGACTGGAATACGGAAATATTATGCACACGCTCCCCCCCACCAATAATAATAAGAACTGAAAACCGCTAGCATCAGTTGCATCGTTTCTAGTAAAAAAAAATCAGGAGTTTGGCAGCGCCTTTTCCAACTAACACCTTTTGTTAAAAGGCCTAAGCTTTGGTGAACTCAAAATTCGATAATGGGAAACTCTCCTTCTATAAAGTAGAGCCACACAGAACTCTAGGGTGAAAGCAACTCTTATGTTATCTGCCATAAAAGTAAATTGCTGGTAAAGGGAAAAGGGGACAGGACCACCTTGACCACAGTTCTGCTTTCTGGAGCACTGAAGGCTTTGCTTCAGTCCTCTGCCTAGGGAGTCACTACTGTTTCCTTAGTAGCAGGGTGAGGAAATGGGCAGATAAAACTCAGTTCCCCAAATGGCGGTTGAATTTGGAGTTAAACGTCCTTAGCCTGTCGTTTTAGAAATAAAAGAAGAGCAAATACGGGAGAGCATAAAACACGGTCGAGATATAAGTTAGCAGTTAGCAATGATTTTTTTTAAGTGCTCGGTGAAGGAGGTTAATTTCCCTTTAATATTTGCTATCTTAGAGTTTTAATGACGATTGAATTCACGTGGAAATTGGCAGCCCTGAAGGAAGACTGAATTTTAAGCAGGATTGGCCTTTCCTTTAATTTATTTTGAGCCTTGCACAAGGACTTAAAAGGGAGCAGAACTGGATTTGGACGTGGCTGTGAATTTGGGGGGATCATAATACCTGATCGCTTGCAGAGGAACCAGTGAGGATCTTGATACATGCAACGTGTATGCAACCAAGCAGAGAGGACTTCAAAAATTAAGAAGATTGAGAACCTTAAAAGCCAGCTGTAACTGGCTGCAGATCAGAGAGGAGAGAGAGTGAGAAAGAAAGCTCTTTCCTTTCCTCACTATGATTTTTATGCTCAACATCCCATCAACGACTCCCCTTTTCTGTAGGGTTTTAATTGCATATTTAATAGATTCGGCACTTAATTAAAGAACCCTTTCTGGATTCTTTGCAGGAATTAAGTAGCACAGTCTTGTCCATGTTTATCTGAAGGATATCCCTTGAGGACCATTCTCCTCTAGAAACCTGAAGGAGATCTGGAGGAGTTGCAATTTTGAGCTAACAGATTTGCTTAAAAGTCCCCAGTTAAGGGAATCACACAATCCCTGCATTTTAAATGATTTCTTTTCTTGAGAACTTAGTGATTGGCGGTCTTCTGAGATTGCTATTTCACCAGTTAAACTTGTTTTGTTCAGCACAACAAAGTCATCTTTATTCTGTTGAGACAATAGAATCATAACAATTAGATGGCATCTCCGTGATCAACTAGTTCATTCTGGGCAATATATTTCCTTGATATGATATGTGATATGAAATCCACTATTACATTTTCTTACATATCGTATGTGATTTGATATCCAGCTTATATGCTGGTCTATGACTGTAATAAAGATTTGACTTGATATCCAGCTTCTAGTTGGGTGCCCCTAATTAAGGAAAGTCCTCTCTCTGATAGACGTGTGGTCCCAGTGTTG